AAGTGTTGAGTTTGCTTCAGTGTTCGGGTCGGTCAACTAACCCTATGGATCAGTCGACCGATCGGCAACTGACAACTTTTTCTTTTTGGTTCGGGTCGGGTCAGTCTTATATGTGTATATATGTAAAGACCCGGATTCCTTTTTCCTTTTCCCCTTCAAGTGTTGAGTTTGCTTCAGTGCTCGGGTCGGTCAACTAACCCTATGGATCAGTCGACCGATCGGCAACTGACAACTTTTTCTTTTTGGTTCGGGTCGGGTCAGTCTTATATGTGTATATATGTAAAGACCCGGATTCCTTTTTCCTTTTCCCCTTCATCTCCCACGTTAGAGCAGCCACCCCCTCTCTAAACCCTAAATTTCTACTTTCGATTATGGAGGAAATTTGTGAAGTAAAGACCCAGAGGAGAGCAAGATCTACAACCTTTGCGAAGGAGGATCGAGTTTCCCTCACGTTTGAGAGATCAAAACGAATCTGAAAGGCAAGTTCATCTTCTCCAAACACATCCCCCTTTTCCTTTAAATTCTTTGGATTAAAACCTATAAATGTGTAGTGATCACCCCCTTAAAACTTGACGATGCAAAGATCTAATTTTAGTTTAAGAGTTAAAAACTAATTCATTAATTAAGGTTTAAGATTTGAAATAAATCTAATATGACATATATTGCTAATTTAATTATTTCAGGATGAATTTACAACCATAATCATGTTTAGGGTTATTAGAACCCCTCAAGCTGATATTTGTGGTTTTATATATCAGTGTAAACCCTAAATACCCTAATTAAGAACTAATGCATGAGTTACTTTCGAAAGTTTTTGACTTTTTATGAATTTTTGTAAAGTCTTCTGATTTTCGATTTTCCATCGAGTCAGTCGACTGATCAGAAGGATCAGTTAACCGATTGGTCATCAGGAAACTAGAGTTTCCTCCCTGCTCGGTTGACTGACATAGGTGTCGGTCGACCGATCGAGACTTGCTGCTTGTGCATGTTTGTGTATGTCGCCGCCCAGTCGACTGATGAGATATCAACCGACCGATCAAAAATCAGTCGACTGATCCCTAAGGGCAGTCAACTAATCTGGTGTTGTTCTGCATATGTTGATCTTCCACACACGTTTGGTCGCAAACAGGAAGTACGAACCACACATCTATACACGTGCGTGATCATGGGAGTACACGTATTGGGTTTGAGCACACACAGGCCTTCGGGAGTGCGTAGACTAATGTTTTGTGTTTATCACGATAGAGAATGACAATTGTTTTGGTTTACAATAGTTTTGATGCTTGAGTGCGTTAGTACATGCACCGCATGAGAACGCGGATGACTACACTCTGAGTGCGTTAGTTCGTGTACTGCAGGAGATTATGGGCGACTACACTTCGTGATGCATCTTTGTTTAGGTGGTTGAGTGTGCTTATCCGTCCATCACATGATATTGCGGGCGACAGCACTCCAAATGCATTAGTCCGTGAGCCGCATGATACTGCGGGTGACTACACTCTACATTTTTGGGAAGCCTAGGACTCAGGCAAGTACTGTTTATGGACGTAGTCCAACATTGTGACATTCATATGTGATGGTAAATGCTTTTGATGAGGACTTCACCGGATTGTGTATTTGCTCCTGTGCCACCTATCTGAGGGTAGTGTGAGATACTGTATTTTGGCATGCATGACATCCTGTATAAGGTATTTGTGGTGTATTTCGTTATTTCTTGTTCATAGGATTTGGCGTTGATATTAAGTGACTCACAATTTGAGATACATGGTATATACATGAGAGTTTCCTTGTTTGGATTATTCCCTTGACGTACTTATCTCGTGTTATGGGTTCCTAAATCTTAACTTCTCTTGGTACTAGCTATATGATACATATATGTGTGTGTGTGTATACATATGCATGCATGTTATATATAGTATTTTGTGTGTTTTACCCCCTCCCCCTTGGGGGCGGTGGAGATGTTCTTGCTAGCGCTCTGACGCTCGTTGTTTTCATCTTTGTCAGACAGCGGGTCAGGGGTTCGGAGAGCCGCTAGTTGACAAAAACTTAATATAGTTTACCATCATTATAGGTAGCTAGTTGGTGCTCCACATTAGATTGTTTATGACTATTCTGTTTTAGAGAGATGTATTTCATTTTGGAGGCTGAGTGTCTTTGTACTGTTCATTGAACTCTTATGTTCTTAGTGATTCATTATTCTTATTTCAGTTTATCAGATGTATTCTCTTTTCGTCTGTTGGGACATACTTGTTGTTACTATTGGATATCTATTCTTTACATTGTGTTTCCTTGTCATCTCATCTTTATATCTGCTTGTACCCTCACTGCTTTGTATCTGACATCTGTTAGAGTGATATCAATGGTGCAGTGAAACATGTTTATGCACAGTGTTGGATGCATGACAGGTTTGACATCTTTGGGTTCACCTTGGACTACAGCCATGTAAAAACAGGGGCGTTACATAAGTGTAGTCATTGCAAACAATCGGGACATAATAAACCTCATTGTCCATCTATACCTGATAAATAGCAATTAATTGGTAATAAATAAGTTTTCTAATTTTAATGCATGTTCAACAAAGAATTTAATTAGTACATAATTTTATTAAAACATGTAATAAATTGTACATGTAGTATCTACACCTTGCGTCCCAGGCCAGATAGCGATGAGGTCCTTTAGGACCAGTCCCGACAACATTTTGAGATTATATTGTTTACAGAGGTAATCTATTTTTTTTTCAATACATATTGTTAAGTTCTCTATTATTATATATTTTACTCTTTATACTCTTTTTCTTTGTTCTACAGAGAGGCCCAAATCTCATCATGGTTGATCATAGCCTCGGGCATACCCATTGGCCACTAGAGGATGAGTGTATCATTACAGTGGTAAGACGAGCCGGTTTCTTGACATGCTCGAAGCTACGTGGATGAAGCTAGATTACCCCTTCTCACAGCTTTGATGGATAGATAACGACAGGAGACTAACACTTTCTATCTACGTCTTGGAGAGTTGACCATTATTTTACAAGATGTATCTATCATACTCAGTCTCCGAGCTGATGGTCCTTGTGTTACTGGAAGCAACAGACATGTATGACGGACAATATGTGAGCAGCTGTTAGGAGTAGCTCTAGACTCAATGCCCGAAGGGAATCTTAGCTTGAAGTGGTTCAGAGAGGCCTTCTCGGAGCCATTGCCTATTGATGCATCATAGAACATGATTGAGCAACATGCACTTGCATATATTATGCACATGATCAGTTTGCTTT